TTTGAATTACCTCCAGTGTCAATTCATCACGCTTCACAAGGATCCTTATAGGATCAGTCATAAATTTGCTAGTCATTTCCAAGATTTCATGAGGGAGTGTCGCAGATATTAAACAAACCTACAATAATTCATTAAAGAAAAACAAAGCAATTTCAACAACATAATCAAACTAGACAAGGAGAAACATAAGCAAATTCAACTCATGAATTTCAAAACCGAGCATGAAACAGTAAGCAACACAAACTAGGACTTTTCATGTTTGGGGTTCTTTTGGAAGGATAACAAGAAAGCTAATAACAAAGAATAAAGCAAATTTAGATAAAAATAGGTGAGGAAGGAACCTGAAGCTCTGGTGGAAGATGCCTGTAAACATCATAAATTTGATCTTTGAACCCTCGGCTCAACATCTCATCAGATTCATCAAGAATCAATAATTTAATAGCCCTAGTACGCAGGGTCCTCCTCTTAATCATGTCACAGACTCTCCCAGGTGTTCCCGACACTACATGAACTCCGTGTTCTAGCTTTCTTATATCTTCACCCACACTTTTGCCTCCAATACAAGCATGTGCCTGTATGTTCATGAAATCACCAATTGTCCGTATCACTTTCTCTGTTTGCGATGCCAGTTCTCTCGTGGGCGACAAGATCAATGCTTGAACCCTGATAGAATACAGTTAACACTATAAACATTGCAAATTCCAACGACAAGCCATGCTTCACACTAGAGATAATAAATTGCCTATTAACACTAAAATAAAACAAAATAGGGAATCATTCATGAGATTCGAAGCCTCAAAGACAGAACCTAATTTATCATCAAGCAAATTAAATTATTTCAAATTTAGGGTTTTAGCTGTAAGGTAACTAAGAATTAGGGCAATCGGGTGGGGGCCAAAGATATCAACGACGTGTACCTTAACCAACAGAAAAATGAGGAAGTATAAAAATAATTAAAATAACAAATTACTCTCTGCTAGCCGTGTCGACCACTTGGCAAACGGTGAGGGCAATCATGGAAGTTTTCCCGGTACCAGATTGGGCTTGTGCAATGACATCACGACCATTGATTATCGGCATAACGGCTCTCTGCTGGATGGCCGATGGCTTTTCGAAGCCGTAATTATAGATTCCACGGAGGAGATCGTCTTTCAACCCCATCTGATCGAAACTCAATATCGGCTCGATTCCTTCCGTCGTCTCGAACACTAACTTCTCATCCTCGAATCCCATACGCCGAGCCACGCGGCTCGTAGTCGCCGTCGCTGCCATTCCTGGAGTAGTTTTCGGATCTGGCCTAGTTTTGGAAGAAAAATGAGAGGGCAGGCTTCGAGGGATATTAAAGAAACGCAAGGTTGCCGAGGTGATTGATTATATTTCCTTTTGGATAAATTAAATAACTGGTCACCATAATAATCTTAAAATGAATATTTTATCATTAAACTTTAAAATTATAAACTAATCATTAAAGTTCTCAAACAGTTATAAAATAATCATTAAATCTTATCAAATTATTATAAAAGTCATTAAAATGATCAAATTATTATAAAATAATCTTTAAATTTATCAAAAAAAATCATTATTTTATAATATGTAATGATCATTTTGTAACAATTCATAAGTCGGATGATTATTTTATAATTTATGCATTTAATACCTAAACTATTAGTTTTAATCTGTTTTAATACCTAAACTTTCAATTTTTCAAGACCATACCTAACATTTAATACGTAAACTTTCAAAATTTTCAAAACTTAATGTTAAATTTTCAACGGGTACTAAAATGAAACAAAAATTAAAGTTTTTTAATGATAAATACTAAAATGATTTTTGATATAAAATAAAATAAAATTTTAGGTTATAAAATATACCAAAAATGATAGCTTAAGTACTAAGGAGTAATTTACCCTATAATTTATAAAACTTCAATAATCTTAGTTTTGTGTGAAATAACTTTTATTTGAATGAAAATTATTAATTAATTAACCATCAACATTTGTTACTTATATAATATGTTTATATATACTAACGTGCCGACATGATATATATACATATAATAATGTTCATTTTTGCTATTTAAAAAGATAAGTGAATGTGTATGTATAATTTAAAATAACACAGCAAATAGTTAATAATGCAATCAGAAAGGGAAACACTATCTGGTGGCGGAGCCGCATATACTTGAGGTGGACGCATACTTTGAAATTCGAATTTTTTCAATTTCTTTATTTTATTAATTGTGTCCAACTTGAATTTTATTTATGGACACCTTAAAACTAAATTTTCTTCGGTTAGTTCGTTATTTTACTAATGTTATTCACCTTAAAATTTATTTGTGTCCATCAATTCAAAAAAGAAAATTATTGTTAGTGTGTCCACCCTGAAAAAATATTTCTGTATCCGTTATTACACTATCCTCCATTGAATCTGAAATGGGTTTGTATTTGGTGGTAAAAAGGAAACGAAGACTCCATGAGAGACGGGGCAGAAAATTGGAGGAGCTTATGGGCTTCTATAATCGTCGACAAACAAATGAAACAGCTCACTAACACAGCATGCAGTATGAAGCAGATTGGATTAATTAGCAGAATCACATACCTTGTGGGAGCGCAGTACAAACAATTAAGATAATAAAATGAATCTGCCGTCCATGTTTTCCCACGGCTTTCTTGTACTTCATGGATACTGGGCTGGCTGAGAATTAATGTCATTATAGTGTTGCCCGAGTGAAAGAGAACTTACAAGGCGATGCAGAGAGTGCCAAGTTCAAGAAAGCCGTGGAATAGCATGCAACGAACCCATATACAGTATCCAGGACAAAATGAAGCAAAATACTTTAATAGCACAGACAAATGGTTACGGGATGCGAAAGAGAGAGAGAGACGAGAGGAAGATAAGAGGGAGTGGGCACAGATTCTGAGCAACTCAAGGTGCGGCTAGCCCAGAACGTATGTGCAGCTGACGAGGGCAAAATTGGCCCAATAGCATAGAGGAACTTATGACTTAACCAAATACAGCACCAAGCAAATTATTTTAAGATCTACTATAAATACTACAGTACATGAAACTTATTAGGTCGAAGTGATGTCTTTTAATAAAAAATATTTTGTATTCAAACTTTTCACTTGATGTAATAAATTCTAATAAAAATTCGTCATACTGAGTAAAAGAATTTTCTTGTATTATAACATTTATCCTAAATCTCAAAATAATTTAAAAGATTTAATGAACTAATTTTTTTAACCCTTTGACCTATTGGGTCAATTTCGCCACTGACGAGTACTATGTCCAGACGTTTCAGGCAAAAGGATGAACAATTTAACAGTATCGGTCGGTTCAACTGAAAATCGTTGTCTAATCCGATTTAATCTACACCGATTGAACCGTTATTAGTGAACCGGTCGAAACCGCTGAACCGTTCAAACCGGACCGGCTGAAAACCGAAAAAAAACCACCAATTTAGTTTTTTTTTTTAAATTAAACCAAACGACGTCGTTTGTTAAACGAGCCAAGGCGAACTCGAGTATTGCTGAACTCGACTCGAACTTGAAAACTTTAAAAGTAAGCTCAACTCGACTCAAACTCACGAGCTAAAAATTATCAAGTTCAACTAGAACTCGAAATATAATATTGAAACTTGAACTCAAAAAGGCTAAAATTACCTATATTATTTATAGAAGTTAGTTGAGATGCTCTTCTATGTTTTTTAACCATGTGGGATTGTTTTGTTATCATATTTTTACTCTTTAGACTTTTGGGATGCTCTTCTATGTTTCTTAGCCATGTGAGATTGTTTTAAAAAAAAAATTAAACCAAACAATATCATTTTGTTATGATTTTTTAACCTAAATTTATTTTTTAATTATAGTTATATAATTATATTTATTATTTAATATGTTTTACCTTAAATATTATGTTGTAGTTAATTTGAATCATTTTGTTTCACTTGATTTTATGATTTTTAACTTATATATGTTGACTTAGTTTAAATATGACTTGTGATATAAAAAATTATTTTTTATTAAATATTTTTGGTATTTTTATTTAATTTTTTAAATAATTATGAAATCATCCGGTTCTTTTGACCGATCGGACCAGTTCGACCGGTTAAACCAATGAACTGGTAGCATAACTGATTCCCTAACCGATCCGGTTCTGAAAACGAGTTAGTGAGTGCATCAAGTGGGGCCTATGGCTCTACCCACTGCGTACTCGGTTTCTTTGCTCACCTCTCATTATTCCCTTAAATACATTTTAAAACTAATAAATATGGGTAAATTATGTGTTTAATACCTAAACAATTAATTTTAATCTATTTTAATATCTAAACTTTTACTTTAAAAAAAAAAAACCATACCTAATGTTTAATATTTTTTTCATTTTAATACCCCAACGTTGAAAACTTAACGGACATACTGACATAACATAACTCCAATGGGCAGACGAATAATCTAAATGGTAAACCACGAGAGAATGACGAGACTACCAATATAGTCCAATTTTAAGCTCATCGAACGACTAACAATAGAAATCGAAGGATGAAGAAGTCAAAGAATCCATCATTGATTTGGGGGAGATTGAGGTATTTTCCGAAAAGGTGCAGGTTAAAAAGTTTGGGCTTCATCGACCGACTAATGCGACGACCAATGACTGTAGACATGGTGGCCGACGAGCCTATCCGTTAGTATTTAACGGCGGGTACTAAAATGAAACAAAAATTAAATGTTAGGTATAGTTTTGGAAAAAATGAAAATTTAAGTACTAGAACAGACAAAAACTAATAATTTAGATACTAAACGTATAATATATCCATATATATATATAATGCTTCCAAAAAAAACTTATGTAGATAAAATTGGTATAGATTCTGAACTAACTTGCCAGATGCGAATCAATTTATCGAATATATCTTAAAATTAATAAAATTCTTTCTTCAGCTGGTCGAATATTATTCTAAACTGGCTTAGTCAACATGTCAACCAACCAATTTAAACATGTCATTCAAAAATAAAATAAAATACATTAAACATGTAATTTAATACATAACAATACTTCCTCCTACGCGGCAAAACTATTGTCATGCTTGTCCTCAAAACCATAGCACCCAGTTTGATCACTACTCAGAAAGTACACAAACTTTGCGGGAATGTATTCAAGTCCAGTTAGAACTTGACATATGACAGGGACATCCAAGCTTTTATAAAAGGTTTACAGGCAAAAGCTTAAGGAAAAGGCCAATCTAAGGCGTTATCAAGGAGCTAAAGAAGCTTGACTGGAATTGGTCCGAAATGAAATCGGAACAACTTAATTAACTCCCACTTATTTCCTTTACTGTCTTTCCCTTTCCCCGGTTCCTACTGAAATGAAAATGGAACTTATTTCCAAGCACTCAAAAACAGTTTTGGTTTCAATAGTTTGGGATGTCTAATCAGACCTGGTTGAGGGAAAAAGGAGAGATTCACCAAACGTATTCGAAACCAAATAAAATTCCGCTGAAAATAATACCTTTACGAGAAGACTCTTCCAAATAAAATCCCGCTGAAAATAAGCGCACCAAACCACTTGTTGGACACAAACCTGTTACAAGAGAAGGAAGAAAAAGAATGAGATGTAATGCACTCTGAAAGCTGAGTACAAATGGAAACAAATATTTAGGCGAAACCAAATCCCCGACTAGCAGGCGTTAAAAGAAGTTTGATCCTTGTGTAGGTTTTGTAATTTTCTCTATTTACATCCAAATGTACATAAACATTAGAATAAATATGCAAGGATAGCAACCAATTGAATTCTTAAACTTATCACGCACTTTCTATTGCAATCTGCACGGCATGTTAGATTAACGGTCCATATCTGCCAAGCCATTTGTCCAGATGCTGCTGAGAGAAACGCATAATATGACCACCCTGCTCAAACATAATTTACAAAAATTAGCAAACTAAAAGGTTATCACAAGCAAATTACATGTTAGCAAAATTTAAATACAAGGCAGGAAAATACCTATATCAGCATTGTATCCACTAAGAGCAAGACTACTTATGCATGCAATTCCAAACCCAGTTGTCCACTCCTTAGTTGTATCCCCAAACCTCAAGGCTGTAGATTTAACACCAACTTTAATATCATCCTCTTTATCCTGAATGAATAGAAAGCAGCGATAATATCCTATCATTTCATATTTCCAACAGACCTAGGGAAACAAAGCTTAAATCCACATAGAGGAAACCTCATAGAAGCTTTTTTTTTTGTGTGTGTGTGGAAGGGGCGGAAAAAAAAAGAACATCATAAACAGGGTTGATCTATTTTTGAAAAAATAAAATTTTCCTTTTCCATTTTTGGTCTTACAAACATATTTACAGATACTATGAAGTAATAGTTGCCATAAAAATTATCCTTCCAATTTATCTCATATGTATATATTCAATAAAAAGCTTGGTTCACAAAAAGGCCATTGTTAGCTCCATAAATCAACCCTGATCCCTGTAAAACCGTAACCATCAAAAGGATGTGCCTAAATTGTCATCACAAGCCTATTCCCCCTGTCTAGTTCATCCAACTAGAGTTAAAATATGTAAAGTGAGTAACTACTAACTACATATTCATTTATACAATATAAAAAATAAAAGATCAACTAAACAGATTCATACTAGCTATTCAGAATTAGCAATAACAGATCATTTTAAGCTAGGATATTAATCCAGTAAAACCAGTAAAGAAAGCACAAAGCACATATAGCTTTCAAGAGATAAAGTTGTACCTGATGTGCATATATCGTATCATACACAAGAGTCCAAAATACTCCAGAAAAGTACAGTGGGAGCGCAATGGCTGGATCTAGACTCCCTCTAATCGCCGACCAACCTAATAATGCTCCCCAATTGAAGGTCAGACCAAGATAGGCTTGAGGCTGAATTGACCAGATGAATGAAAGGTAAATAACTAAACAATCTGTGCATAAAAGAAGAAAAAATACATGCAAACATCATTACCCAAAATGTAAACCTCTTCATGAGAGGATAGGAGAAGACTAGAAACAAGGACGAAGCCCCTAATACACGGCTGCAATAAATGGTTAGGCAATATCAGCCATATAAATCAATATTTGTGTACCAACAAGCTAGATTGAATTCATCAAATTTTCAAGGGAAATGGAGAAAACATTAAAATTTAGATGATATGGAACAGAACTCCGGTGATTGAGTCCAGCCCAATATTATTACAATAGAAAATCTCACGTAAAACCATGGAAGTCCTTTGGTAAAGTTGCCTAAGTACAAATCACTTGAACGATTCCCAGATGCAACGGCAAGAGAAAGAACTCTAACCTATAATTATTAAGCTGAAGGAGAATTCCAAGACCCAAAAGCAGTTGAAACCCAAGAAAACAAATCCCTTGAAATGGTTTCAAAAGACCACTTGCAACTGGTCTTAGCTTTGTACGTTCCACCTGCGTGCAAAATGCTCCCATGATCAAATGACTGGAATAATGAAACAGCAAACGTCAAGAATCAGAAATGTGTATAAGTAGAGAATTAAGTGCACTTGTCTGATATTAGAATCCTTCAAATTCCTTGTATTCTTAATTATATATATATATTTTTTGATAGAACTTAATTATATATAATAAAATACTTTGATATATTATTGTTATAAGACAGCAAAAATACATGTGAAATTGCAAACAAAAAGGGTGAAGAAACCATTAAACATACCATAGTATCAATATCCCGATCAAGGAGGTCGTTGACGGTACAACCAGCACCTCTCAAAAGCAGAGCCCCGCAACCAAACAAAGCCATCATCTTAAAATCAGGAAGATGGCCTGGTGCCGATGCTAATGTAATTGACCTACGAAAATTTAAAAAGATGTTCACGCCAAAAGCAACAAAAATTCAAACAAATTCAAGAACCGAACAGCGCAACAATTAGAGAATGAAAGGAAGGAAGAAAAAGGAAGTCTTACCACATGCAAGGCCAAGCGAGCAACCAAGTTCCAATAGGCTTATCGAGGCGGGCAAGCTTAGCGTAAGGCTGAATTCCTCGGGGTAAATAAACGTCAATCCAAGAGGGAACCCCCGCAACATTCTTGTTATCGCTACTCCTATCCGGTTGATCACCTTTACCCGAGCTGTCGGCGACTCCAGAAGAGGTGGACATCCAACAAACTCCAGGTCTGAAATTCGAGAGGAACGACAGATTTTCCTTGGGTACTCTGAAATGATGACGCGAATCATCATGATCGGGAAACAACTGAGAAAGTCGAGAGAACGGAGTGCTGAAATGGAGACCGGTGGTCGCGGTTGAGGATGATTGCGATGAAGAAGACAGGATAGAGAGCGAGGAAGCAAGAGACGGCCTGAGGAGGGCGACCGAGGCGGAACGAGCCAGCCGAAACGACGCCATTTTTTTTGGTCTTCTTCACTGGTACACGGGTTTAGGTTTAGCGTATTGGAAGCTTCAAAAAGGCTTAATTCAATAATGAACCACTAAAGTATGGTATTTATTATCTTTCGCCCTCACATTATTGTTCTTCCCGTTCGTAAAGTTGTTAGCAAATTAAATTCGAAATATCTCTTGAGATTATTTGATCGATAAAGATCGATTAATATGACAGTTCATGCAGTTGATTAATGATCTAAAACATAAGTTAGTTTGAGGAAGTTTCTCGATCCTTAATTTTAATTATAGTTGAAATATCAAATAAGATATTATTTATTAATATTTTATATTACGTAATTCCATCTTAGTTCTTATTAACGAAAGAGTTAATTATATAATTGATGATTTATTTATGTTTTGTTCAATTTTTCTTATTGATTTTAAAAGTTATAATATACGATCACTTTGTTTTTTTATTTAGTTAAGGTATTATCACTTTCTTTTTTATTTAATTAAAATGTGGTCATCACGAGTTAATTATCGTTAATTGTTAATAGATTAGGTATGTGATATTTTGGAATATTACACATTTGGTCCTTTTTATTTACATAATATCACAAATTAGTCTTAATTTTAATAAATTAAAATAAATTTAAACCTCCAAATCGAATGATATCACATGTCATTGGTGCCATATGTCACCATTTGTTGGAGGACTAACTCTATTTTAATTTATTAAAAGTGTGACTAAATTGAGAGAATACGTAAATAACAGAGATCAAGTGTGTGATTATACTAAAATATTTAACTTCCGCGTCACCTAATTTGTTAATTGTTAACGAAAGTTAATTCGTTGTGACTACATTTTAATTAAATAAAAACGAAAGTGACAATATATTATGTTTTTTGAAATCGATGAGGAAAAACAGACAAAACACAAACATAAGTGATTAATCATTTAGTTAACCCTTAATTTCATAATAAAATCTAATGTAATCCTTGACCTTGAATTTGATAAGTTAGGGCAAATTGACCCTTCAAATTTTTAGGCCAAATTGTTTTCTAAATTGAATAAATTGGCTCATAAACTCTCGTTTTTTTTTAAATTGACCTTTGATTTTGAACTTTATAAGTATGGTCAAATTGATTCTATAACTTTCTTTTGATTAAATTTATCTCTGAATTTGATAAATTGTAATATAAATTTTATGAACCAATTTAATCAAAATTTTAAATTCGATGATTAATTTAATCAAATTTATTAAGGATCGTTTTTGTGTTTAAAGCCACGATAAAATCGTGATGCTTTTTACTCTCAAAACACACGAAACAGTGTGCACGAGTTAAATTAACTCAATGATTAAAAGGATGGTCGGTGTTCCTCGAGATTTCATGTTCAAGTACCAGAAACTATAAGAGTGTTGGCTTTCATTGTCAAATGATTAAGAGTCTTTAGAATACATGATATAATCACTCCAGATTAATATCCTCATGCCCATAGAATTGGCCAATCTCATGTCTCAAACTGTGTTTTCCAAGTTCCTACAGGGGCAAATCCGGAGGAACAACTAAAATTCTAAGCTTTTCACTAATAATAGTAATTAGGATAGGGATGGTAAAAATACTCAAATTTGACGGATTTTGATCTGACTCGACCCTATAAGGACATGTTCTTTTTAAAAAAAAAAATTCAAGGTTCAGGATGAAACGAGATATGGTTTAAGGTAAAAAATCACTGGCCCAACCCGAAATATATATAATATTTTTATTTTTATAATGTTAAAATATATTATTTAATTATTAAGATATAATAATTTTATCTCAAAATTTATATATATTTTTTTGATTTAGTCTTAATTTAAAACGATTCAATAAATTTAACTCTTCGTATCTAAATTTTTTATCGATTTTTTTTATTTTCTAATTTCCCATGTGACAACTGCATTATAAGAGTAATAAATGAAAACGGTATTCCTTTGAGTAATTCCCAAGTTTCATAAACAGCTAACTTAATGCCCAAGAAACTCCCATTCCTTCTTTCTGTCAAAATCTTCCCATTGCCTTCTTTGAACATAATAATTTAGTAATGCTTTAACTTTCAGCATCTGAAGCTGAATCTGATTGCAGGATTCGAGTTGCTCTTTCCAGCAACTGTGATTCTATTAACATTTGAGAGATCTATCAAGATATATAAAATGAATACAATGTCTTCAAAAAAAAAAACTTTATTCTCAGGTTAAACAATCAATGCATGCGAATTAGTTCATCTTCGTCGCATTCCCTGATTGCGATGTCGAGAAGTTCCCCGGATTTCGACGGTAGCACGTCGCAGCATTGCCGTCTCGGTGCCTGCATCTTGAGCATTACAACAGAAGATAGCATTAACAATTTAACACCACTGACAAAGGTCGTGATAAAGAAAATGTTGACACCAAGTGTAGGTACCTGGTTATAGTTGAGGTCTAGTTTCCTAGTGGAGACTCTGATTTCTTCAAGTTTCCTTGGTGAATTCATGTCCATTGTGCAATTTTCATAAGATTTCTTGTAAACACTCTTGATTCCATGCCTGGTTGAAGATACACTGTCGAAGAAGAAGATCGTGGGTCTCCGGCAAGGATCAGGGTGAAGTTCCCTGGTGTTGAAAGTGTAAACTCCGGCTAAGGGATTGCCGGCTTTCCACTGCCGGAATGTTTCCGGCACAGGAAGAACATCTGGTAAAAACATGTGCTTGCTGTATACTTGAACAGCATAGCCCCATGAAACCGAAATCGTCCACGAGTACCAACGATCGTAGCAGACTGTTTGCTGCAAAATTCTCTGAGAATCAACGTTTGCAGCATGAAAAAGATGTTCCAAGGCCTTGGTGTTTGTCATGTTGGGGAAGATCGGGTCTACATGATCCATGTGATGCAGTGAAACCAAGGGTGTCAATGGATGTGTAGCCAACAAGCCGAATGCATTGCCCCTAACATCAAACTGGTTTAAAACATAACAATTTGCAGACATCAGACATTTATGTTGTCTAGAGCTTGACTAAGAAAGTTCTGAATAGATATTACCTGATGAAAGCCTGGCTCGGTTGTTAAGCCAACGCCGAGCTCGACCAAGCAATAGTAGATCCTGGAATCACTTCCATAAAGATGAGGGTACCGTTCAATACAGGAATCAAACACTTTGGCCAAAACTTTAGCCAGTGGATAACTTACGGCAAAACCAGCACCACCAAACGCCATCCTAAAGCCGAAATCCTTGTTTTGCTGATAAATCTCCGAGCCAGCCCCGATGTAGTACCAGAGCCGGTGATCGTATTTGGACAGCGTTTTAGCTAGATTGTGCGGGAAGAAAACCGTGTCGTCGTCCCCAAAAACATACCATCGAACATTCGTATGATTAAGAGAAACAGTCTCCAGAACCACGCGTGCCACTCGGATCGCTGACCGTAGGCCGTTTCTGAAAGTGTAGCGAAACCGGGAAGTGTCCTCCGAGATGCACGTCGGAGGAAGATCAGTAGCGCTATCGTTTGTTGCATCGGACGGCACGGCCTCGAGGAACACGCATCCGCGCATCAGGCGAGGTTCCCACCATAGCCTGACGTACTCTTTACGGTTCGGCCATGATTTCTGGTTCGAAGCTATCCCGAAAACGATATGCTCCACGCCAGTCGATGCATAGGCGTCCGATGAAGATGAATACACGTTTAGAGGCGGTTTGGAGTTGTGGACTAGAAGTACTGACGCAATAAGATAGATGACACAAGCAGCTGATGAGACCAAAACCAAGTTTAGAAGATGGAAAGAAGATTGGGTCTTGGAAATCAACTTAAAACGCTGCATTTTCAATCTTGATGTACTCAAAGAAGAAGAAAGAAGAGTTTTCTGGTACAAAAGTTCGTTACCCTGGCACAACGTTACATATATATATATATATATATATATATATGTACAATGTCGTTTAGTAGCATAATCAACGGCGTATATGTGGAACATAAAGTAGACGTTTGACGTTAGTTTGTTTTGGCGAAACGAGGAAGAAGAAGGTAATTAAGCAACAAAAACATGGGTTAGGTCGCCAAAGACGTGACAAGTTCAACTTTGAATCCTTTTTGCTCTTGCTTTGTTTTGCAAATGGTGGGCTCGGTTAGAGATGGAACCAGAGATTGGTCCGGACGGCACTCCCTTTAAAACAAAATTATTATTTTTATATAATTTAAATATTTATTAGTTTATGGGTAATGAGACAAATAATTCCGACTATAATATATTGTTTTAATAAGTCACTCGATTATTAATAGATAAAAAAATAGTCTTTCGACTATAGATTATTATTTTGTTGAGTCTTTTAACTATTAAAAGTTACAAAAATACTCATCTATTCATTATGTTCCAAATTCGACTATTTATTTTTATTAATTTATTATTAATAATTTTTTTTAATCTTTAAAAAATTATAAATTCAATTTTTAACCTAAAATTTTATTTTTAAGCCACTTCAGTACTTCCCCAAATAACCATAGTTTTGTGTTGATGGACAAGTAGGGATTAATCTAGGTAGAGGAGAACAGATGGGCGGTCGTCTCATTTAAAATTTTAAAATTATTATATATTTTAGATTTTTTAATAATTTTTATTAAAAATTTATTTCCACTCTTTTAAAAATTTATAAGTATTCATCCCTAAAATTTTATAAATTTAAATTTATAATTTTAACATAAAATCATGAGTCTTGGACAAATGTTTGTTGGTTGGGACCCTTTCCATGGGTTAAGTAATGAAGTGAGAGCTACTTGTGCAGCAGGTCAAATGCTTGTTTTCGTGAAAAATGACTGATTTGGTTGACTTTCCAAGAAGCTAACCATGTGCTCAGAGAAGTTCAAGCCACCTGGAACGGATCTCACGTCACGGTTCCACAAGCTTATTTATTAACTGAATTTCAAGTCACTAAATTTTTAGGGATTGACAATATATTAATTTTATAAATATTTTTATAGTTCATAAAAAATTAGGGTTAACTACACAATTAATTACTTATCTCTCAGTTTTATTCATTTTTTGTCACTGATTTCAAAATACATAAGATATTTTAGTTTTATTCATTTTTTTGTCACTGATTTCAAAATACATAAGATATGGTTACTTACGTTTTTATTTAATTAATATATGATCACTTTCATTTTTATTTAATTTAGATGTGGTCACCCTGAGTTAATTTCTGTTAACATCAATTAAATATTTTTGATATAATCACACATTTTTGACCCTATTATTACATATTATCTCAATTTAGTCATACTTTTAATAAATTAAAATAAAGTTAATCATCTAATCTAATGATGCCACATGTCATGCCAGTAAGGTTGTTCAAAAATACCCTACTCGATTGAGCTGCCATGTCAACTCACTAACCCATTTAAAAAATGTCGGGTATTTATAATAAAAATAGTCGAATTTCCAGGTCGGGTACCTGACCAGGTTTCTAGGTCGAGCATGGGTCACAAAATGTTAGTTAACCGAGTACCCTCTGACCCGGTACCCTATTGATTATATATTTTCATTTTTATTTTATATTAAATTTTTATTCATAATCCTCAAATTATTTCACTCTAACATTCTGAAATCATAATTTCTTAAATTTTGACATCATAACGTTCTAAATTCTTAATTTCTTAAATTATTTCATATTGACGTTCTAAATTATTTTTTAAAATATTTGTTTTAATTTTAAAAACATTTTAATTTTATTTATATTTTTTATTTTAAATTTTAATAAATTTTATTTCAATTATGTAATTTGAATTTTGAACTTTATGTGTGGATTATATATATTATAGTCTTTTAAATTTTAGAATTATATATATATATATATATATTTAAAAATAATATAATTTAAAGAAAAAATAAAAAAGTATGAACCGGGTACCCGTGACCTGAATTATATGTAATATAATCTTCTATATATAACTTAAAATATTTTTATTAACTTATTAAATATATGTTACTATTAACTTAATTTAAAAATATTTTATTTTCATTTTCATTTAAAATATATAATTTATTTTTAATATATTAAAAGTACGACTAAATTGAGAGAATATGTAAATATCATGGACTAAATGTGTGAATATATCAAAATATTTAACTGTTGTTAACGGCTGTTAGCTTCAAGTGACCAAATCTTGTTTAAATAAAAACGTAAGTGATCATATCCTATGAATTTTGAAATCAGTGACTAAAAGAGTACAAAACTAAAAGATAAGTGACTAACCATATAATAAAGTATAAGAATAAAAATATAATAAAAACATAGGATTAATTATAATTTAAATTATAAATGTATAATACAAAAAAAAAATGTCTAAACTGTAATCAAAATTGACTTTCGTTGCCTAAAGAATTTTTTTGTTAAAAATAAATGTCTAATGTTTTATCCGTTACACTTTTAGGTTTATATCGTTAAAAATGGTTTAATGACACTTGTCACGTTTATATTTTTTATAAGTAAAATATTATTTAAAAATATTTTTTAAAAAATCTGAACGTGACACGTGTTACTTAACAAATTTTTTAACTGTAGACATCTAAAAGTGTATAAGAGAAAACATTAAACACCTACTTTTAACTAAAAAAAAAATTAGGCACCAAAAGTTAATTTTAAATATAGTTTAGACACTTATTTTTATAGTAAGTCAATCATAAAATATCATAACAAACAACAATAGAAATATGGACATCCCGAGAGGATTCTCATATAATTTAAATATTTTATTTATATTTTTATTAATAATTCATTTTCATTCCAAATCTCCTTAATATTTTATAAGTTTATCTATCCAATATAAAATTATATGTTGATCTCTATAGACGATAATAACATTTAAATTAAAATAACATTTAAATTAAACTCAATCGTTGTTTTTAGATATTATTGAAAGAATTAATAATATCGAAATTATATAAAAACATGTTGGGAAAATTAACTTTAAAAATCTGTTGAAGAAGTGATTGCCATAATCTTCTTTAGAAAAGGAATTACTCCATCCTAAAAATACTTGTTAATATAAAGTCTAAAATATAATTCTAAAAAACACGTAATTATTTAATGGGTTTAAGTTAATTGTACTCTAAAGTATTTGCCAATATAAGTACCTAATTAATAACTTTTGCTTTAGGTTTGGCTTATACCAAACTAGCGTTTGACCAAAAGTGTATTTAATTTGAAATAAAACAAAATCTTAAATTAAACTATAATAAATAGCATTATTAATTATTATTATTATTATTATTATTATTATTAATTACGATAACTTTATATTGGCATTACAAAGCTTGTGTACCAAAACTGATGGTTTACAAAACAAATAGTTTCAGTTTTTTGTACTAAACGCGTTAAGTTTTTAACGACGAAATATTAAAATGAAATGAAAATTAAACATTATATATAATTTTAAAAAATTGAAAATTTATATACTAAAATGTACCAAAATTAATAGTTTATGAGTTTACCGATAAACACAAGAGTAGGTTTAATAGATAATAAACTTGACTTACTTTCGATTGCTCGATGTAGAACTGTAAATGAGACGAGACAGATCGTAAACTATTCGAGATCAATTTTAATGGATTCAACTCGAGCTCAAACTCGATTTGAGTTCTTAACCAATCGAAATGAGCTACTTGATACTCGACTCGAAAAGCTCCCGAACAACTCAAAAATATAATATATTAAGATTTATTTAAAAAATAAATTATTAATAATATTAACATTTATGTGTTGAATTTAAAAAAATGCAATATAAGTTTTTTCATGGATTAAGGTTCAGATTCGAATTTGAGTTTGAGGATTCAATCGAGTTAAGTTTAAGATTTTTTTTTCATTTCGAGTTTTTACGAGCTTAAGTTCATGGTTTCAAATTCGAGTTGAGCTTAAAAATTTGAGGCTCGCGAGTATTTCGAGTTGAAACAAGCTCTATTTTAGACTATTTCGAGTCGAGTTAAGGACATTATTTATTGAATCTCTCGATTGTTAAAAGTTACAAAATTATCACCCAACTATTCCCATGTTCTAAACTTGTCATTTTCTGTTAAGAAATTGGTGGTCATATGGTTTAACATTAACCTGTTGATTGAGATATGATAAAATTTGATCATAAAACCATGTGTGTTGTATTTGTTGATCAACTCTTTATTTATTATGTCGTTGAGGTAGTTCTTGAAACATTATGTCGTTGAGCCAATGTTTGAAAGCAACTGTGGTGCAAGTAGATATTATTAAATTATGATTGTATAACATTATAGTCAGTATGTTAACATTTAACTTAGACGACCATTAATTTTTTAATGGGAAAAAGACGAGTTTGGAACATATGAATAGTCAGGTGACCATTTTGTAACTTTTAATAGTCGTAGGACTCAACAAAATAACACCCTATAATCATAAGACCGTTTTAAAACTTTTAATAATAAAGGTATTAAAAAATCATATAGTTGAGGGACTATTTGTGTATTTTACCCTTCTTTCATTAACCACACTTAAATGTTATTTTTCCAAAGAAAAGAAAAGAAAAAAAAGGCTTATTACCAAAATAAGTGTCCAAATTATATCATTTTTTAGGAATAGGTGCCTAAAATATTTTTTAATTAATCTCGACACCTAAAGTTACAAACGTTACCACTTTAGGTACCCGAACCGTCAACGGTGTTAATTTCCCAATTAAGTGACATGTATCACAATTTGATAATTTCAAAAATCTTATTTACAATTATAAATTATATATATATATATATAAAAAAAAAAGTTAGCTGACCCTTATTCCCATATGTAATGGGTAAGGGGGAGGTATGATAGTAGGCTGTCCCCAACGCCAAGTCGAGAGCAGCTTCCGTAAGAGACCTCCAAATTATGAAGAAAAAAAACATTTTGAATAATTCCTAAACTTTGAAAACTTTCATTTCAAACCCTAAACCTACACCGACCGTCACCTTTTGCACTCGATGAAGATCCACCCGACCTCATCTTCTCGATGATCAAAATTCATATGAAATCGTGATTGATCGGTGATCGATCGACGGCGAATCGACATTTTATACTTCATAAACCCTATGATGAAAGTCACGATCGCATTCGATTCTGACAACCAATCGACGACAACTATTGTGGCGTATGACTAGAAGGATGATAGGGACTATATCAAATACGATGGTCATTGTCAAAAAATGTGGCAGCGGGGGTTAAGTTTAGAATTTGGGGATTTAGGGATTTGAGATTTTTTTTATAATTAAAAGAAATTAATTTTTTTTATAAATATTATAATATTTTTAATATATATATTTTAAAAAATCGACAGATTGTGACATATGTCCCTTAACGGAAGAACTTAACGCCGTTGACGGCTTCAATACCTAAAATGATAACGTTTGTAACGTTAGACACTGAAATGAGTCAAAAAATACTTTAGGTACCTGTTCGTGAAAATCGATATAGTATGGGAACTTAATTTGGTATTAAGCCAAAAAAGTAGGAGGGGAAATCGAAACTCCTCTTTACCATCGATCGTTGACGCTAAAGAAGAAAGGCTTTACAGAGAGAAACTGTATCTTTGTGGGGTGGTTTAATCAATTAGCGAGGACCTGAGAGTCTCAAAGCTTCATCTCATACGCAAACAACAGGTTGTTTTTATCAAAGCGTCGTCTCAAAGCTTTGCTCGATTAACCGCCACGTCGTTTTATCAATTGAGCGGTTATGGCTGAGCCATCGTCGTCTTTATCGCCATCAATGGACGAGCTGATTCAGCTCGTCAAGCGCCTCGGAACCTATCTCGCCCTCAAGATGTCCAATCTCTCCTCGATCTCTCTCCAAAAGCTGGTTCCTTTTATTTCTCTCATAATTTCTCCTATCGTTTTTCTTTTTTCGGCGGATCTGAGGCTCCTCCTTGTGGTTGAAATGCAAAATTTTATTTATTTCCCCCTTATTGTTTAGTTATATCTCTGAGGCGTTAATTCGTGATTATAGCGGAATGTTGATTTGGTAATTGATGTTAATTTCTTCATGCTAAGGATTTTGGGTGGGAAATTAAACTTATTGCAGCTTCCAATTTCTAATATTTAAGATGAATTCTCTTACTGGTATGCTATACGATAAATTGTTACCGGAAATGGTGTTAATTCGTCTCATATGGTATTTTTTTACCTAATTGACTTTTGAGCTCGAGTGTGGAAATGCTATATTGAGGCAAAGAAACCTCAAACAAACCCTTGTATTAGCAATGATATGTATCAATGGTGGATGGATGGGTGAGTGGGCTGCTTAGCTATTAGGCATGTAGAGCTGCTCTCGCTCCATTTTCTTTTTCAACCTAGACAAAGATATTATGTTGTTTTGCATGTAACTGAAATGCTTCCAATATAATGTATTATTCTTACCACATCCTTACTGCGTCAGGATCCACGATCTGTTGGGGCCATTGTAGGGCTTGCTGTTGCATTTATCTTTACCTATAGGTTGATGAGATCACCTTTACCGCCTCCAAGAAGACAACCGAAACATCAAGCTCCTACAACTAGTAGCACTGCTATCAGTACCCAGTCAAATATAACATTGACGCCTTCTGGAGTTTCTTCATCGTCAGAGGATTTAAGAGCACAGAATGCTCTTGATGAGTTTTTCCAGCCAGTGAAGGTATGAATGATTGAATTCTCCTCTTTCTAGAACTGTTTGACATGCTTATCATTCTCAATTGGATTTTTTTTTGTTGCATTTCGTCTCTTTCCCCCTTCTTTTGCAGCCAACATTGGGGCAAATAGTTAGGCAGAAACTGAATGAAGGTAGAAAGGTAACTTGCATAAACTCCTTAATTCTGTAAGCAATGTTTTGTACTTATTTTATTTGTGTGTGTTGGTTTCTAGAAGTATAATTCTTAGTCATATTGATCATGCTCCTTTAGTAAGGACTAATAATCTATGCACACAAAAGCAGAAAAAAATTTTACTTGTTGAAATGAGATTCTTTAGGAAAGGATTTGTGCCCATTCTTCCTTGATGTGATTGTATGGGTCATTAGGGTGATGTTTGCAAGAAAGTTTTTTATTTATATGAGGCTTCTCGGCTTTCTCTTTCTTAGCATTGAGTTTATGGGAATCTTGTACTGTCAATTGGTTTAATGGCCCAATCACGATATTTGGTTTGTTTGTTGGATGCTTTATCAGAATAAATTGCTAATATAAATGCCAAAATATAATCTCTACTTCCAGCCAGCAGTATCAATCAATATTTTAACTGAATTATAAACTTAACCTTTAGAAATCTTCCTGCATCTTGAATGCGAACTCAAGTTGCATATGACATGGTTTAGTACTTCAGTTATTACTGGGGCCCATTACCTGATGCCATACTACTGCTAGTGGCTGGCTAGATGAATTGATTCTGGTCCTATTATTTGAGTCTATAATTTAGAATGCATGCACCGTTGGCAATAGTTATAACTTCTCATATAATACTACAAGTGACTTCAGCTCAAAATTTTCAGAAGCAAAGTAACCTCCAAGTTCTGTTAACATGCTTTTTATGCTTAATTATGACATACTTTTAAGTTTGAGGATGTGCTGGTATTTGCTGCTTAGGAAGCTTATAAGACCATTGGTCAGAAACCTTTTTTACTCTTCCTATGGCTTCATGTTTTGATGACTTGTGGGTGTAGGTAACATGTCGTTTACTTGGAGTGATCCTTGAGGAAAGCAGTCCAGAGGAGCTGCAGGTGCGGAATCTTTTCGGCAAGCTTTATTATTGCAATTAATATCTATAAGTAATTAATTTAATTGGTTTTATTCTGGATAGAAACAAGCAACTGTAAAGTCCTCTGTGTTGGATGTGCTATTGGAGATTACCAAATTTTGTGATCTTTATCTCATGGAGAGAGTTATTGATGATGAAAGCGAAGTGAGTTCAAACCTTGCTGTATGATGTTGTTTATACTTATTTTTTTAATGCTATAAACATATAGGGAAGAACTTGGAAACTGACAAGAACATATTAGGGAGAAAGCAAATTGGGCAAGGCAGATAGGACTTGGGAGAAAACCAGATAGAATAGAGGGAGAAAATCTCGAGGGCTAAAATCACTATACCTCAGATAATCAATTTTTAATGCCTGATTGAAACAAAACTAAATAGGTATTCAAAAAATGGATGTCCCTTGTTCCCATATGTAATGAGGTAAGGGGGAGGTAAGATAGTAGGCTGCCATCAACACCAGGTTGAGAGCAGCTTCCGTAGAAGACCTCTGAATTATGAAATGCCCTCCGTGGGACTTAATCCCACGACCTCAAGGTCAAGAACCTTGTGTTCTACCAACTGAGCTGGATGGTCATCTCTAAATAGGTATTCATAGCTATACCCAAAACCCTAACAACATGAAAAATACCATACATTACCTAAAATATTAAATAACCTTTATATTTGTAAAGATTACAATCAAACATGTAAAATATAAATTTGATCCTAATATAATACTGTTACTATTATATTTACAGCATTCCTCATTTATTACATGCAATTGTAGTATAGTTACTTCTTTATCTTGGTTTTACTTGTATCAAGCTACTAGCATATTCTTACATCATGTCTTTTCCCTTGAGACTAACATTATGAACTGCTTTTCTGCAGAAAAATGTTCTTCTGGCTTTGGAAAATGCAGGGATTTTCACTTCCGGGGGTTTGGTGAAGGACAAGGTAAACGTTGGCCGGTTGTGATTGTATGTAGTTTTTGTTTATATATCTCAAACCAAATTCATACTCCAGTCGGGAAAGTTCTGTCTGGACCATGAAAAATTGATATTCTATCTGGTTTTCCTTCTTATGTTTAATAATTACTTTGCCTGAAATGAATCTGCAGGTTCTCTTTTGTAGCACAGAGAATGGGAGGACATCTTTTGTTCGGCAACTAGAACCAGATTGGCATATCGACACAAATCCTGAAATAGTTTCTCAGTTAGCCGTATTATTCGATTAATTGCCATAATCTTCGAGATAGTTTTTTTTCCTCACCGCAGATCATAAAATGTTTTGAAATCTGATTCTGAAGCAATATTTTCGTCAAAATGCCTATGATTTGAGATATTCATTCATTTATTTATTTGCAGAGGTTCATCAAATACCTGCTCCACGTATCCCTGTCAAGCTGAATGGACTGCGGGTAAGGTCTTCAGTTCTCCATCCTTGGAACACTTCTTCGGATGCGTTTGACACACCAACTGGTAAAAGAAAGAGATGCAAATATGTTTTCAAGTTGTTGGTTACTCCCTTTTGGCATTCGTATGCTACCTTTTGAAGTTTAAATCTTGATATTTTTCTTTCTTTCGGCACCCCTTGTGCTGTTGTCAGCGTTTAGGTTAACTATAAGGGAGAAAATTTCTTTTGTTTTTCTTTTCAAAATTGTGAAATAGGAATGGCTCACTGTTTGAAGTTCCCGTTTTCGAACCGGAGAAACTCCGTCCAACAATTAATGTTTGTAGTTTACTTCTAAGAATATGCAATCATAATCACAAGAGAGTTTCTATGTTGCCTCTTCTGAGTTGGATGCTTTTCTCGCTTTGTTTCGCTATTTTTATATGTCGATTTAATAATATTTTTTAATTAAAATATATATTTTAATCATAAGGGTCAATTATACAATTGATCACTGAATTGTAGACTGTATAATGATTTTGTTATTTAACTTTAAAACACCTCAATCTAAGTATTTGATTTTAAATTAAAATTCAATTAAAATATTAAATCGTTTAATTCGGAACGATACTTTGATTTATCGGTATTTAAACACGTTTGCATGCATGGTCGAATCTAATCTTCGGCTTGTCCAGATGATCGATAGCTGTAGGCGATATGAACCCCAAGTGCTACAACCACCAAAACCGACACCCCTATATTCATCAGCGTCTGCCGATCTTCGTAATCGTCCGTGACAAATCTCTTTACGCTCTTCGTTATGGTTTCCATTCCTTTCATCTCCTTGGCTTTCCCCAGGAAGCTGCTTTCAACCTTCTTCGCCGGCTTCTTCTCTTCTACGGCAGCCGTAGAGGTAGACCCAGCAGTCTTCTCTTCGGCTTGCTTTTTGCTAGTTGCAATGGCGGCAGCAGCAGCTTTCTTCTGTGTTTCTTCTTGTCGCATTGATGGCTGCACCTTCGGAGGAGCATTTCCATTTTGCTGACGACCCATTTCCGTTGATGCTTTAGGCTGATCAGTTATGGCATTTCGAGTGGTTTGGGGAGGCAAAACTTGTTCGTCTCTTGCTTTGCAACACCGGAGGACGTCGTTGAAGCAGCCATGGGAGGTGTAGTTTCTTTACTGAAATTTGCACTTTGCACGGAACCTGTTTGAGTAATTGCCTGTTTAGGCATTGTGATGGTAAGGATACCATCTCTAAAAGATGCTTGAATTTTTTCTTCGGCACAATCTTGTGGAACAGGGAAGGCCTGGTTGAAACGTTGTCGTTTGTTCTTCTCAAGCGCTCGCTCTCCCTGCACTTTGATCGTTCGAGAGGAGTCCACATAGGTGACACTAATCTGCTCTTTGGGGAAACCTATAAACACACAAACATCACAAATAAATCCCACCAGGTAAATAACTAAACCCGAAGATTTTAACTCGTGAAATTGAGTTTTGGGATCATGATTTTTAATAGCAAACCTGGAAGGTGAATGATTAGAAAATTTGCTCCTTGATCTTCCTTTCGTTCAACTTGGAGTTGGAAATCCTCATAAGTATTAGCAGATACGTTGGGTCTTGATCTCTCAGCCATGGTTCTTAATATGTCTTGGTCACTATTTAGGGTTGAAATATGATTCATAGTACGTCAACTCTTTCGCATATTTATATGTTGCATGTTCATTGGCAGCATGATAAGAAATTTCTTGATGGCCAAACAATTCCTTCTCGATCGCTTAGGGTTTGCGCTGTTATGACGGCCGGGTGTTGTCTTGTCTCACGTATTACTTGTGTTACAAATAAAGTGCCTGTGTTATGTGCTTTGTTTGTCCTATGGTTTAATGCCAAGAATCCTGCATGCCCACTTTTGAGTACCTCTTGGAGACGTGATTCTTTGCTTTATTTTTTATGCAACTATTTGAAAATTTAAAAAGCTTTAATAACTTTGATGTGTGTGTTTTTAAACCCAATCACTGTTTTAATTTTGAAAAAAAAAATCAGTTGGCTAAAAAATTATTAAAAATAAGGTAAATTTCACATTTAGTACATAAACTATCGGTTTTGGTTTGTTTGAGGATCTAAACTTTTAATTTTTTTAAGACAATGCCTAACGTTTAGTTTTCATTTCATTTAGTACCCTGTCATTAGAAACTTAACACGTTTAGTACCTAAACTATCACTTTTGGTACGTTTTAATACCTAAACTTTAAAAAAAAATCAAAAATTAACGTTAAATTTTGAATCTGGTACTGAAATGAAACAAAAACTAAAGTTTTTAACGATGAGTACTAAAATGAAACAAAATTAAATTTTAGGTAGTTTTGAAAAAAATTGAAAGTTTAGGTACTAAAACGGATTAAAAATAATAGTTTAAATATTAAATACTTAATTTACCCTATATATATATATATTTAATTTTCTTCTAATTAGTTTTTATTTTTTAGGTGATTACTATAGGCATATGTTCAAATTTTTTCTTAACATATGGACAACAAACAATCTAAAAATATTCGAACTCAAGTCTTCTAGAAAAATCAATATTTACTTTTGCCAAACTTAGAAAAATTAATTATTTAATGGATACAATATATAAAAATATTTAGGTTATTAGAACGTTAGTGTTTGAAAATTGAGTGGCAAAATATTAGCCGTCATTGTGATTATTTGGAGAGAGAAAAAAGAATATGTATAACATCATAAAGTAAGAGTCAACGAGTTTTTTTTTAAAATAATCTTTTAATTATCTATGTAATGTTGAATTATGATAATTGTTATTTGAGTGTGTATTGTTTATACTTGTAATTATAAAGAAAGCTTTTAAATATTTTTATAAACCATAAATTATTAAATAAAAATAGATAAAAATATTTAACAAAATCTTAAAAGATCGATAAAATAAATAATAAATTCAACTAACTTCAAAATAATGAGGCTTATATCACAAATAAGTACTTGAAGTATAATCTCTTCTTCATTTAAGTGCCTAAAATATTTGTTGGTCAAAATAAATACTTAAAGTTATTTTTTTGGTCAAAATAGATACTTAAAGTATTTTATGTCAAAATAGGTACATAAACTATTTAAACCTTTTCATTTAAGTTTTAAAAAAATTGACACGTGACATTAATTAAAGAATATTTTAGGTACTTAGATGAAAAAATTAAATATTTTAAGTATCTATTTTGACCAAAAATATTTTTTAAGTATTCAAATGAAAAAGATTGTATACTTTAGGTACTTATTTGTTATAGAAGCCCAATAATAATCCATCACACACAAAATCAAAGAACAAATAAGAGAAGTGTTACTTAGCTTTAAAACCTACTTTTGCCATCCTTGTCAATGGCCGATCGTTTTGTCGTCGTTAGTTGTCCCTCCACCCTCCTCTTCCCTCTCCTTTCTCAACATTGTATTAAGCTTTTTTCGTGCCTAGATGATTGTTTCGTAATTGTGTAAGGTTTCTTACGGTGGTTGAATCATGGTTTCAGTAAAGACAATCTCTTCCTGTTTCGTAAACCTTGTCTTCAGACTCTTTCTTCACCTTCGGTTGCTTGAGGACTGTAGGTAATTGTAATATGTTGCTTCTTTAGGCACTCTATATGGAGATATGAATGATCATTCTCACCAGAATTAGCATCAGTCTAATATAAGACTGCTAATTAATGGAGGGAGAATCTGAATTTTTAGTAAGGCTGAATATCTGTGCAAAATTCAGTTAATTTAAAAAAATAAAATAAGATGAAAAACATCTATCATATTCAATAATCATCGATGAATTAATATAGTAATTAATGGGGTTCCATTAATGGAAAAAAAAAAATTTCCTTTAAAAAATAACCAAGGGAAAAAATGGTGGGTTGTCTAACATTCGTCCTCCTCACGTCTCAAGGGAGTCTTTCCTCACCCGACAATACGAGAAACATTCGGGTGAACAAATATCCCCACAGCAAGAATATTATCACCAACCCAGACCTGCGTTTTCTCTTTCTATCAAATTGTTGGCTTTTTTGTCTCTTGGTTCTGCCCTGTTGCAGACACCAGATACGTAAAAGCCTGTTTTTCTTTCTTTCTTTTTTGTTTTTTTTTAATTTTTTTGGATTGATAATGTTAAGGTTGAGAGACATTGGAACAGATTGTTGTGTCATTGCAATGGTTTGGTGAAGGAGACAACTTAGAAGATAGTAAGGGGGGAGGGTTTGGCATTTTCCTTGGAGGAGAGAAAATAATCAAGGAATACTTAGAAAGAAAGAAAAACAGGGTTGTGTTGTAAGATTATTTGTGTATTCGATGAAATGAGAAGAACAATAAGCGAACGGCGTAATGTTTGGAAGAGCAATGGAAATGAGAATGGCAGCTGCTTATGCCATTTTATTGGTGATATCGGTCTGCAGTTCGAGTGTGGCGAGCTCGGATGGTAAGAGGAGGATGCGTGAAGATGAAGGCAGAGCAAAAACATCTCCCAAGATGAATGACAAAATGGTAAGATGATTCATATTCTTGTTTTCATTTTCACCCCTCTTGTTGAATTCTTGGAGCATGTAAGTTGTTAAGAAACTTTAGCATGCATAGCATTGTGATGAAGGGAATTGAGAGAGAGAACCGTGTTCGGATTTTTTTAAGGCAATTATGTCGAATTCTCACTATATTGGGGTGAATAATTCGACTTACAAAGGCAATTCTTTCAGCTATGTGAAATGATAAGCTATGTCAAAAAGTTTCCTGCCTTTACTTCGATTTATAAGATTAGTCGTTTCCCTTTTCTAGGGGTTTAGTACAGATGATAGCCAAGGTTCTTGTATGGTGTAGGTTTGGTTCGAGCACATTCGATGTTTAATGCATTAGAAACATGTTAAAAGTTCATGTATATGTCACTGCAATTATGGATCAAGCGGTTATCGTATACGGGTTTCTTGAAACCTATTCGATTTCTCAAGTTCAGGGTTGAAAACATTACAAGTTGAAAGCTTGACAGAGGTTTTCTACTTACAGGCTGAAACATGGAATCATTGCATGGAAGAGATGGGAGAAAAGAGAGTTGCTATGAAAGGTTTTAACCTCTACATACCACAAGCAACCGATGACTTGATATCGCCATTATTAACAAAACAAAGGATGCACAAAGCTATTAATACTTTGCCTCCTCAAGTGAGAGAAGGGTTTCTTGATTGCTTAAAAAAGAATGGACTTGTCTTTCCTGCTTCTGATCCAGATGTTACCTCAAGCTATATACGGTCGCATCCATCTGGAGGTGTATTGGATTATTCACTTCACATATCGAAAAAGGTTTCAAAATCAGGTAAAGCTAAAAAAAAGAAAAAGAAGGATATGATGACAGTTATTATTGCTGTTGCTGCAACTTCTGTCACAACATTTATCCTTGTTGCGGTGGTCTTCTACTTTTGTTGTTTGAGGAAACTTGAAGAACCAAAGGAGGAAAAACCTCTTCTACACTTAACCGATTACTTGAGTGAAGGTATGTGTTTGCTGTGTATGTTTTTCATTGAGTTGTTATCATCTTTGTTTTCTTGTTCATGTTCCACAAACATTTCAACTTTACAATCATTCAGGTTCTTCACACAAGTCTATGAATTTAGGCTGTTCGAGCAAACAAGAACCCACTACTGGTGAATATAATGACCCTTCTCCCGATAGTAGTTTGCCTGCACAACAAGACGATGGCTTACTTCCAAAACCACCAGGATCAGATGTACCACTCCTGAAACCACCTCCTGCGAGACCAACTCCTCCTCCTCCAGCACCACCGCCTGCAGCACCAGCTCCTCCTCCTCCTCGTGCTGCCCCCCCACCGCCTCCACCTAAAGGTGTCCGTCCTCCACCACCACCAAAAGCGAAAGCTGGACCTATTGGAGGACGTAAACGTGAGACTTCTTCTTCTGATGGTGGTGGTGGTGATTCTTCACAAAAAGCCAAGTTAAAACCGTTTTTCTGGGACAAGGTTACAGCTAATGCAGATCAGTTAATGGTCTGGCATGAGATCCGTGGTGGATCATTCCAGTAAGGCAACAATTTTACCTTCCATTAGTAGCAAACTTTCTGACTAACAATGCACCATCAAAATTTTCTTTGATTCCAAATTGCAACTGAAAAACCTCTGTAGGTTGAGTGAAGAGATGATAGAGACTTTATTTGGTTATCAAGCGAATAATAACAAGAGTAAAGAGAAGAAAGATAAACCAGTGGAACCTGTGATCCAGTACATTCAGATTATCGACCCTAGGAAAGCTCAAAATTTGTCTATTCTTCTACGCGCACTAAATATTTCAACACGGGAAGTTGTTGATGCTCTCAAAGAAGGTATCATTCTATTTTTAAAGGAATATTGGCGGAATTGCTTATACTGATACTATATTTCATTTACCTTTTTAGTTTGAATGACAATTAGAACACATAAAATTTGATTGGAAAAAAAAAGATTTAATTGCTTAAATTGATTTTGCTATGGGGTCAATAGAATTTCTAATCAAATACATTAAATTCCCCTTTTAAGTTTTGAACATAAAGGAACCGCATTACCAGAGAACTTGCTGGTATAGAATGTAGTAGGAATTTCAGTAATTATATGTGTATAGTATTGGCAAATAATTCTAATCATTCATCGGTTGTGTCGACATTTATCGAGAAAAAGCATGTAAAACATAAAGATGGTAATTGAAATATATACCAAGTGCATAGATAGCGGCTACAGAAGCAGAAAGTTTTAAGTTCTCATTCATCTGGTCGAATATGCATGTAAAATATTTGTTTTAGATCTTTTTCAATCTTTAAATGCACGTGACAGCTCATTCTTCTAAACTAAACTGAGACAGGCCACAGGCTTCCAGGAGAGCTCCTTCAAACATTACAAAAGATGACACCAACACCAGACGAGGAATTGAAGCTTAGATTATTCGCAGGGGATATTAATCAATTAGGCCCTGCTGAGAGATTCCTTAAAACCGTGGTTGAAATAGCTTTTGCCTTCAAACGAATTGACGCCTTGCTGTTCATGAGCAATTTTCCTGAGGAAGCTGGTGGCCTCAAAGAATCCTTTGCAACTCTTGAGGTGAGATGATAGATCCTCCAGGTCCCCATAGACCATAGGAGGAAGGAAATGAAAAATAATAGTGTTTCTTGTATGTTTTTTGCATATATTTTTTGGTCGATTGAATCTTCTGCTACTCAATAATCAGTAGGCCGCATAATTTAACCACTAAGACATATTTTCTGGGAATTTATCTTCATGAATATAGCTCCTATATGGAAACCTCTATTACTTCAATGATGAGTAACCAGATGGTTGTGATTATTGTCCTAATGACAGATAGCTTGCACGAAGCTAAAAAATAGCAGATTGTTCATGAAACTTCTAGAAGCAGTGCTTAAAACGGGTAACCGCATGAACGATGGTACCTACCGTGGTGGTGCACAGGCATTCAAGCTTGACACACTCTTGAAACTATCTGATGTGAAGGGAACAGATGGTAAGACAACACTTCTCCACTTCGTAGTTCAGGAGATCATACGTTACGAGGGCATAAGATGTGTTCGCTCATCATCATCAAACCAGGGATCATCATCTAGCCAGGGATCATCATCAAGCCAGGGCTCTAGCCTTGGCAATTTCAAGGCACTGGACTTCGTTGAAGGTAACGAAGAAGACACTGAGGAGCATTACCGCAGTCTTGGTCTTGAAGTGGTTTCAGGTGTAACCACCGAACTTGAAGTTGTCAGGAAGGCTGCTGCTATTGATGCTGATGCCCTGCCAACTACTGTGACAAAACTCGATTTTGGTTTGAAAAAAACTAAAGAGTTTTTGAACACGGATATGAAGGGTACCGATGATGAGGCCTCTCAATTTTATCTTACATTGTCTAGTTTTACCGAAGGTTCAGAAGCTGAAATTAAAGGACTATCAGAGGAAGAAAAGAGAATAATGGAGCTCATCAAGAGCACAGCAGATTATTTTCATGGTCAGGCTGGAACGAAGGAAGGGTTGCATTTGTTTGCGATTGTAAGGGATTTCTTGACAATGTTAGACAAGGTTTGTAGAGAAATTAGAGATACCAGAGCGAAGCAGCTAGCCCAGAAAGCCAAGGAGGCCAAAAACGCAGGTTCAACAGCAGCTTCTAAAGTGAACCAACAAAAATCGTCTTTGGAGCGTCAGCAAGACAAGGATTCCAAGAAAGAAGGTTCATCAGAGCCAGCTTCTGAAGACAGCCAACAGCAATCGTCTTCGGAGCCTCAGCAAGACGAGGATTCTAAGAAAGAAGGTTCATCAGAGCCAGCTTCTGAAGAGAACCAACAGCAGTTGTCTTCAGAACCTCAGCAACACGAGGATTCCAGAAAAGAAGGTTCATCAGCGCCAGCTTCTCAAGAGAACCAACGGCAGTTGTCTTTGGAGCCTCAGCAAGACGAGGATTCCAATAAAGAAGATTCATCAGAGCCAGCTTGTCAAGAGAACCAACAACAACTGTCTTCAGAGCAAGACGAGGATTCCGAGAAGGAAGGATCATTAGAGCCAGCTTCTCAAGAGAACCAACAGCAATCGTCTTCGGAGCAAGATGAGGATTCTGAAAAGGAAGGATCATTAGAGCCAGCTTCTCAAGAGAACCAACAGCAATCGTCTTCGGAGCAAGACGAGGATTCCGAAAAGGAAGGATCATTAGAGCCAGCTTCTCAAGAGAACCAACAGCAATCGTCTTCGGAGCAAGACGAGGATTCCGAAAAGGAAGGATCATTAGAGCCATCTTTAAGGAAGGATCATTAGAGCCAGCTTCTCAAGAGAACCAACAGCAATCGTCTTCGGAGCAAGACGAGGATTCCGAAAAGGAAGGATTATTAGAGCCAGCTTCTCAAGAGAACCAACAGCAATCGTATTCGGAGCAAGACGAGGATTCCGAAAAGGAAGGATCATTAGAGCCAGCTTTTCAAGAGAACCAACAGCAATCGTCTTCGGAGCAAGACGAGGATTCCGAAAAGAATGGACCATTAGAGCCAGCTTCTCGAGAGAACCAACAGCAATCGTCTTCGGAGCAAGACAAGGATTCCGGAAAGGAAGGATCATTAGAGTCAGCTTCTTTAGAGAACCAACAGCAATTGTCTTCGGAGCATCAGCAAGATGAGGATTCCGAAAAGGAAGGATCATTAGAGCCAGCTTCTCCAGAGAACCAAATGCAATTGTCTTTGGAGCATCACCAAGATGAAGACTCCGAAAAGGAAGGTTCATCAACACCAGCTTCTCAGGAGAACCAACAGCAATCATGTTCGGAGCCTCAGCAAGACAATGATTCTGAAAAGGATGGATCCTTAGCGCCAGCTTCTCAAGAGAACCAACAACAACCGACTTTGGAGCCTCAGCAAGATGAGGATTCCGAGAAAGAAGGTTCATCAATTCCAGCTTCTCAACAGAGCCAACAGCAGCCGTCTTTGGAGCACCACCACGACAATGATTCCGAAAAGGAAGGTTCAGCGCCATCTTCTCAAGTGAACCAACAGCGAACATATTCGGAGCCTCAGCAAGACGAGGATTCCAAAAAAGAAGATTCAATAGTGCCAGCTTCTCAAGAGAAACAACAACAACAACCGTTCAGTGCGCCAGTCACCGCCCCTGGTTATTCATAGACATCTGCTTCCAGCAATTACCAGTCAGCGGGTGCGCGATTCCAGTTCAGACGAAGACAGCTTCTCTCCTTAATCGAGAAAGGTATAAGAGATTCTCCGTTGGAAGCATGCATCCTTTTACCTTTTTGTTGTCATTATTATAGTTTACCTCGCTTTACTCTTGTACAAGATCGACGATTACAGATTGAAGCTAGTTCGATTGCCGTAGACAACAGTGAACAACTTCCAAAGTTATCACTCTTTTCACTGGTACATCCAAACCAACGAGATATTCCCTTTCTTTGACACACTTTCAAGTCATTTTGTTGATCTTTGTTCTCTATATCTTTAGATTTAACCCTCCAGAATCGAATTTTCAAACCTTGAAATTGTTCGTTTTCGAAATTGAAGATTCAAGAGATATTTACATCAATTTGTTAACCAATTTCTTTTTGGGTATTCAACTTGTAAGAATTAAATTCAACACGCTCCAAAATTGACAAACATAAAAAAATTACTCATTCAAATTGATTTAAAACATTAAACGAGCCGAGTCTAGCTGAGTATTTTTTAGCTCGACTTAAAAACTCTAAAATAGAGCTCGACTTGACTTGAAAACTTGCGAGCCCAAAATTTTTAAACTCAAATCGAAATCAAAATCAAAATCATTAATAGAAGTTCGAAAAAGCTCGCCAAAGCTTAAAATAAAAAAATATTGAACTTAGCTCAATTGAAGCTCAAATTTAAAAATGAAAATATTCTACCACATTAAGTTAAAAAATAAACACATAAATGTTAATATTATTAATAATTTATTTTTTTTACTAAAATAAAATTTTAATATATAATTTTTTCGAGTTGCTCGCGAGCATGCAAGTAGATCGTTTAGAACTCGAGTCGAATATTTTTCAAACGCTGATCGAATTAATATTGAATAACTCACGATTTTTCTCGTCTCATTTACTTACCCCTCGAAAGCTTTCCCTCTCTTCGTTAAAAGAAGAAAGAATTCTCTCTGCTCAAATTCAAAACCGTGCAGGACTCAAATGAGGAGAAAAATAGTAATACTTTTCAAGCTTTATCAATATTTCAGTATAATAAAGATTAAATTTAATCCCAACGTACTCTCCAACAAGTAAAATTGTATAATCTATTTTAATTTTTACTTATAATTTAAATTATTATCTACTACGAGATTCACACTCGACAAGTTTTGACTCAATCGGCAGGGACGTGGCTAGGTTTTCGGGGGACCCTGTATAAATTCTTATAAAGGGCCCCTATTTTCTAGATATATTTGATTTCGGGATAATAATAGTGGCGTTTTATGAAAAACGCCGCAATAAATATCTATAGTTGCGTTTTTTAAATAAAACCCCAAAAATAATGACTTTTTTTTAAAAACGCTGCAATATGTCTATATATAGTGTTGTTTATTGAAAAACGTCACTATAGATATACTTTTTTTTGCTCGCACCACCCAGCCACGGCACTGTCAATCGGACAATATAAGAATGTGTTTTTTTCCTTTGAAAATTCAAATTTAAGTCAAGTTGGGTAAGATATTTTAAAAGATAAGACCGCACGGATTCAAATTTAATTATAAAGTGAAAAATACTTGACTTGATCTATAATAATATTGTAACTATTTCTTGGATAAATAATAAGATTGATAATTTTCGTTTAAATTTTGTACATTATTCCTTAGTGAATTAAAAAAATCATAATATTTGGTCAATTTCGTTTTTATTTAATTAAGATGGATTCTGAGAGTTAATTGTCGTTAGACTTTAAATAGATTATTGGCGTGACATAATAAATATATAAAATAAAAAATTAACTATTTAAATTATCACTAATATTTGAGTACTTTTTTTGTCTTTTTTATTGAAGTTTGAAAAATAACAAATTGATTGAAATTATCTCATATGTTTAAAACGGTTGAGTAGTGAATGAGAAATTGATGCTCATATTAGGGTGCACGTTAATTGTGTTGTGTAAGGAAAATAGAAAACTCATATCCCACATTGATAGGATAACAAGCATAAAAAATCGTGGCTCGCGTGCAGGGGGTGCAAATCTAAGCTTGCCAAATCCATTATCGGGGTTGACGACGCACCTATAAGCAGAGGGCAACGTGAATGTCCAAATCGATTGGGCCATTTGGGGGCCTGTGGATATTTCCTTAAATGTCCAACTATATGTTAAACACAACTGAAAACCTCTTTTTTCTTCTATAGTTTTCGATGATCTCTACGGTTGTACTATTGTATGTTGATTATCTCGTTATTGTATCTGATGAGATAGATGATCAAAGATATCAGATATTAAAGAGTGACATAAAATATGTCTTAAGGAAATTATATAGGTATAGTCTTAACTAATATTCAGAACGTTATTTTATCGACATTCGTGTTTTCATTCTAAACGATTCTCTTTATTTATTAATTAAATATTTCTTTACTTTTCTTTTTCGTCTCAGATTGTTATACTTCAACAAATAATTTATACATTGGTTACTTATTTTGGATATTTCTATTGGCACCCAGGTTAATTGAGATTCACCATATCGGAAACTAATATCATTTTCTTTTTTTCATAGTTATAAGGGAAAATACACTGTAGAATGATCTCGAATATTTATTTATTTATTTGTATAAAGAGAGGAAGAAGAAAGACATCAGATTCTTCTCTCGATTTTGAGAGAAATTTTATAATGATCAACTGGCATTTCAGTTGGCATTTTAAGAGATATGATCGATTAATAATAAATTTGATCACACGAGTCTGTCAAAAATTATATTAGGAGGAGGTAACTTCTTGAAGGTGTAAAACGTATAAGATGTTATGTTTAAAGATGTATTTTGAAAGATTTTAATATGAAGAAATTCTTCAAAGATTCTGAGGTGGAGAGGTTATTCTTATAAAAAAGAATCAAAATTATTATTATTATTATTATTAAAGTAAAATTGATGAATAAAATCGAATATTTGATTTAATTAATTTAATTTTAATTCTTTTATCAAATCAATTTATTTAATTTTTTATTAATATATAAAAACTAAACCGACCCCAACCGGTTACACATCCATATCGCTCATTGAAATTTTTGTTAAACATTTATCTATAATATACATATTTTATAGACGTAACTGTTCGAATCCGAATTCTTTAAAAAAAATAATATTTTATTTTATCAGCAAGTTAATTCAATATCTAGGACACCTAATCCAAAAATATTCCTAATATAAGGACACCAAGCCTTTTCAAATAAAATAATAATATTTATTATTTAAAATCAACCAATCAAAATCCAATCATTTTACAGACCGAATACACGTGTATTAGCATGTGAAATAAGTTCCTCTCAAATATTTACTCAGTATTCTAATATAATTCTGAGACATCGACTCAATATAATATAATAGATTATATATTATTATTTTATTATTCGAATCAAGTGTAGAGTTATAATGATTATTTATAAGTTCACATTCCAAGAGATATGACCAGCTGATAATAATTTTTTTTGGCTCTAATAAATCTAGTCAAGATTCAATTAAGGGTATGTTTATTTCACGTAAATTTTTTTTTCGAAAACGTTTTTCTCACTTTTTAGTGTTTGGTTGGAGGAAGATAAATTAGTCAATGTAAAATATTTTCCTGGTCAACATAATTTCCTTTGCATTTTTTGGAAAATGACTTAAGTTGATATTTAACGTCTTTGTATACAAGGATGATCCTACAAGATTATATATATATATATATATATATGAGTTATGATTCACTTGTACGGTGTAAAGTTCTTTTAGTTTTACACAGATTTAAGACTGTTGGATGAGTGAAATAGATTGTTGAGATTGACTCCTTACTTTTCTTTCCAGTAAATATCTTCACATTTCTTACTTTCAATCTTAGCCATTTGTTTTCACTCATCAAACGACCCTAAATCTGTGTAAAACTAAAAGAATTTTATATTGTGTAACATGATCATATCCTTATATATATATATACTAATCTAGGATGCTTACAAGTGGTAGTATTTATTTTAAAGATTCTCAATCATATGATATGAACACTCAAATATCATGTTGGTGCTCGAACTTGGTCATATAAGAACAACAACCATTCCTTTAACCACGGATATAATTAAAAGTGAGATTTTTTAACAAGTTATATTAAAATACAAAATTATAAAACTCTAACAACATTAAACTAAATCATCATTACAAATTAAAAGAATATATTTATTTTCCAAGTTCATTTAAGATTCATTTGGTCAATTATTTTTGTGCGTTTACATCCAAAACAATTAATCATCTTCCTCTTCCTCTTCCCCAATAAGTGTTGGTACAAGTGATTGAAATTCAGAAATTTGAACGTGTAAGGTCAAGTTCGAATTCTACTACCTTTACTCTTGGTGGGCAATATATAAATTCATGTGTAAATCCCAATTGAATCTTAGATATGCCCTGACCCTGAACCGGAGAGTCCCTCGTGACCTAAACATTTAATCATCTTCCTCCTCTTTTTAACGTTATGTGCTCGTTGCCATGTGCCATTTTCCAAGTTCATTTATGATGCTTATATGTATAGGGTAGGCTATGAAATTCATGGTTTTTTTAATAACAACCTTAAAACACGTGGAACATAAATTATTACATTACAGGATAACGCGGAGAGTAAAAAATACACGTTTTTATAAAGAGAGAATCGCCTCAGTGACCAAAAAAAAGTTATAATATACGATTTTAACCAACTTTTTTTGGATTTGCCAAAATGACCAACAAAATCGCAACGCGAAATAAAAATCGCAACGCGATCCCCAGAATCGCAAATCAGTTTCCAAAATCGCAACGCGATTCTTGAAAATCGCGATGCGATAGTACAAATTCGCATTGCGATTTTCCATAATCGCAACGCGAATATGAAAATCGCAACGCGAACACATAAATCGCAACGCGTATCCGTAAATCGCAACGTGTATCCGTAAATCGCAACGCGTATGGGTAAATCGCAAT